TGTAGGTTCTTCTCCTGGCTTTCCTTTTCATTGCAAAACTTAGATCATCAAGCTCGACTCGTAAGAGTCTAAATAATCACTTAAAAAAAGAAAATTAGGTTATTTAAAAAAGAATATTTACTTACCGAATACACCATGGCATCACTAACATAATTTCCCAATTTACATTCCCGGGAATCGCACGGTTGTTCTGGTAAATCCACTAATGATTCGCCTATTACTACACTGCCTCTGGCGTCAATATAGCTTTTCCATGGTTCCATTGCTTCCAGAGTTATTAAGTCTAACGAAATTTATATAGTATCACATACTTATTGCACTTTTGTTCTAAAATAAAGTTACGAAATACCTTTACCGTATATTATCCGTGCTCCACCATAAATGTTAGTCACAAATCACATAGTAAAAAAACAGTTTTTTTTTTCAAAAATTTATTTTTTTATTTTGGAAACTTTTGTTAGTTGCGTTTTTTTCACAGAAAGGTTATATGCAAGCTTATAAATTTGGATAGGCATTTTTTGGATAGGAATAATTTCGTTTTCCAAACCATTATTTTTGTAAAATGTGTTAGCAATCAAAAAATGTATTTTTGTAAGTCAAAAAAGTGAGAAAAAATTATATATAAATACATGCATTATATACAATATTAGTAATATAATTAAATTATTTATTTTTTACATAAAAATGTATAAAGAAATATTCAAAGATAATATTAGGTTTTGCAGCAACTATGTAACTTCGTTTGAATAGGTGTAAAAACGTTTGATGTAAATACGGTCTAAAGTTCACACCATTCATCAATGTGTCAAACAGAAACCATAGCAACAGCTGACTATTCGATTAACTGTCAAATTGCATAGTTTCTACTTGAATTTGACGATTGAAGGGTGTAAAAACGTTTGATGTAAACACGGTCTAAAGTTTACACCAAACATCAAAGAATGAACAAGAAAAACGTGAGCGGGAGAAAATCGAGATGGAGAGGAGTCAGAACGAAGTCCGACAATTTTACAAAGGAGTAAAACACCCAACCGAAGGTTTTGGTGTAGGCACATTCTCCTGTAGATTTGAAGTAGGAAACCTGGTGATAGATAAAGATAGCGTGTTGAGGGTCGGAAAAGCTTCAGGTATCAAATAGTGGCGGTGGAGATGATACCACAGAACCAATAAGAGATGGCGGTATAGAGTGTATACCACCTAGTCAAGATGAGGTCAGAATAGCAATCAATCGGTTGGCGAATAATAAAGCAGCAGGTGCCTATGGATCACCAGCCAAACTATTCAACCGAAGGTTTTGGTGTAGGCACATTCTCCTGTAGATTTGAAGTAGGAAACCTGGTGATAGATAAAGATAGCGTGTTGAGGGTCGGAAAAGCTTCAGGTATCAAATAGTGGCGGTGAAGAAGATACCTCAGAACCAATAAGAGATGACGGTATAGAGCCGATGGGTCACCAGCCGAACTATTCAAGACCGGTGGTCAGATGGTGGTCGGGAGCATGCACTAACTGATTTGTACAATTTTGCTAGAGGAGTGCATGCCCAATGATTGGAAACTCAGCATTATGTGTCCCGTGTACAAAAAAGGTTAAAAGACGATATGTGCCAACTGGGCACATATTCAATTTTATTGAATGAAAGCAAAAAATGTCGGAATAGCATCAAATTATAGAATAAGTTTAGATTTGTTCGAATTGCTCAACATTGGCACGAATTATAGCCTACAAACGGCCAATAAAACCGTCACACCCTGCCCGAATGTTGATCTGCGGTATTTTGGCCCATTCCCGGCAAAGCGCTTGCTTGAGGTGATCGACACTTTGATATTTTTAGTGTCAACCTTGATTTCCAAAATACTCCAGACACAATAGTCCAACGGATTTGTATCCGGAGATTTTGGTGGCTATTATGCGCTGGAAATGAAGCGAGGAACCTCATTTTGTAACCATTCTTGGTTGGCGCGTGATGAGCGCGATGGTACAGAGTCCTGTTGGAATGTCCAAGGTCTGCGGCCAAATTGTTTGCGTGCCCAAGGCACTTAATCTGATGCCATGATTGATTACTACGAGCAGAGAGCGACCATCGGCAGTTATGGCCGGCGCTTGAGTTCTGGTGGCCAAGAGAAGTTGCACATTTTTACCTGACCTCTTTGGCAAGTAAACCCGATCATTTTGTTTGTTTACAAAATGCTGGACAACGAATGTTTTCTCGTCGAGAAAACCAAATTCGGCAGTTCACCAGTCTGAAGTTGGTTGCAGTTTCTTTATCTCACTCTGTACAGCGCAATGTGGGAACGATTAAAGCCAATGATTTCACTCTGCGTCCAATCCTGGAAAAGACCCACGAAAAACACATCGAGACATTCCACCTATTCGTCGACTGTAAAGCCGCATTGACAGCCCTATCCGTTAGAGGTGCTTAAAGCCATATCTCCTATCGGCATTCTCGCAAAATTATTACGACTATGCAGATTAATATTAACTGGCAAAAGGTCAGCAGTGAGAGGATTTCTCGGAGCCTTTCAAAACCGAACGAGAGTTCAGTCAAGATGACAGTCTGTCCTATGACCTTTTTAACATGCTACAGTAGATATCGGATATTAGAAACTAAAAAAAAGCCGGAGATTTCTTTCTTTTATGCGTTTTTTTTCTTATATGGGATGTGCTTATATCCGATATCTACTATACCGGAAAAGGTCATACGAGAGGCATAGGTGAACAGAAATGGTACTCTGTACACAAAACAACGCATATTACTCGCCTACGCTGATGACCGACAATAGTTCAAACATTGAGAGCGGTAACATCCACCTTTAAACAAATTGGGAAGGAGTCTGCCAAAGTGGGACTGGCAGTAAATAGTGAGAAGACCAAGCTGATGGTATCAACGCGCAAGACGACTAGTAGACTCGTACCAACTACGGAATTTGAGCTTCGAGGTAGTAAAAGATTTTATAATTTAGAAACAAGGCTACTTCCCGCCAGACCAAACTCACACTCTACAAGACGCTGATACTACCCGTGCTGTTATATGGATCAGAAGCATGGGTACTTGCGCAAGCAGTTGAGGCAGCTCTTGGAGTGTTTGAGAGTAAAATTCTCCAAAAGATCTATGGGCTGATCTGTGTCGACGGTGAATGTCGCCGTCGAATGAACCATGAGCTGCAGCGACTACGTTGGCTAGGACAGGTTATGAGTATGGATGAGGATACCCCAGCTCAAAAGGCATTTAAAAGCGAGCCAACTGATGGTTCACGTAGAAGGGAAAGGCCATGAATTCGATGGAAAGATCAAGTGGAATACAAGATTTTGGATCAGGGTATTTCAAATTGGAGGAGCTACGCACAAGACCGACACGCCTGAAAATCTTTTTTAAGCTCGGTTTATGGGACAAATATTCTGGCACAAGCCAGCTAAGTAAGTAAAGATCTAGGCTACAGAAAATTATTTTTTTATGTTTTAAACGTTGGGCGCCAGTTGTTTATTTAAATCCGAAGTAAGAATTTCAAAGCAAGTAGAGATATATATCGTAAATAGGCTAATATTTAACCGCAACCGTATTGATTTTTCGAGACTTTCAAGATTTCAAGACAAGTAGGCAGAACAAGACTTAAAGCGGTATCCATGTCGTGGTTTCTACATCAGTCAAACAAATTTGTTAAATAAGTTTTTTTATGTTCAGGTGAAAGTCTGGCAGTGACGATTTCGCTGTTACCAAAGACCAGCATATGTCGATTTCTCGTTATTCTCCATAGTTAAGACTGTCTTACGATTTATTATGGCGTATTTTGCTTTTAGATCTTCATCTACACCCATATAAAGTCCAGATCTTTGGTCCGAAGGAATTATTGCACCTTACTTCTTCGAAAACGAGGATTGTTCAGGAAGTGAACATGGATTTTTCTTATAATAATGTTAGTGAATGTCTTGCTGTGGGTCTCTTGTGTAAAGGAGAGAGAATTTATTAAAACATTGATCTATTTAGTATACAGTTGTGGCGATATAAACTGCCCACCAAGATCATGGGCAAGATTTGACAACATTTAACTTTTTATTGGGCTACGCAAAATATAGTCTTTATGCAGATAAACCTTCAAATCTCGTTGACTTAAAAACCAACATTCGTCAAGATATGGCTGAGAAGTTGAAGGGTTGAACGGTCTATCTTTGTGGATAATTTATGGGAAGATTGCGTCTACGAAATATTAATGTTATGGCATTTTTAAATAATCCTTGGCAGCCTTTCACACATGCAACTTATGTTCGTTTCATGTATGAAACGTTGGGCGCCAGTTGTTTATATAACAATTTCAACATTTCTAGAATAAGAGTTTTCAACATTCTAGAATAAGAAAAGGAGTTCTCCAAGCGATGTCGTATTTCATATAACATAGAAATATGAGTCTGAATGCTATCGGGATGATTTGGAAACATATCCTCTGAGGCACCCGGACAGATTTAGCTCGAACATGGAAAATATGAGCAACAATAGTCTTCGGATACTGAAAATTAATATCTGCTACTACTAGGCATATAATTAGAATGTGATCTATAAAAATTCCCCTTACCTGTGACGTCGACGTGATCTATTATAAGTAGGGAGAGGTTTAACAGGAAAGGACGAACTAGTGGATGATAGTTTGAGGTGATCAAAGTAGAGAGAGCGACAACAAGAGCCTTCCAATCAGTTCATTGTTCACATTACACATGCAAAAATAATCAAAAACTTTAAAGCCAAACTGTTTGTATCAAACATTGGGCGCCATTTGTTTACATAAGTAGGATAAAGAAAGGAGTTCAAGCAATGTTTGAAACGATTGACCCCAGTCTTTCATATCATATTTAAAAAAAATAAAGCATAGTTACAAATGTGTTATAGTAAAATTTGGAATAATTTAAAAAAAATTGTAATGTAATACGATGGATTTTCCCGAAGTACCACTTGTTAGTCATCACACCAATAAAAATAATAATATCTACAAAATATTGAAATAAAAACTTACCCTGCGGCACATCACTACCCATATAAAGTGGAGCTCCCTCGTAATCCACAACATTACCCTCCTGGTCAAAGTAAACCGTTAGATTTCCAACATATTTGGCGTAGGCTCCAGCTTGAACAATTAAAACACGATGACCCGTTTCCGAATGGGTTACAACTGTGGGATAATCACCTTTGGGTACATCAGGCCCCGGTGGTGTATCACCCGTATATAAAAATGTATGTGAATGAGATCCGACAATAACATCGACAACTGAGCCCGTCTTTGAGGCAATCAATTTATCCACATCGTAGCCACAGTGTGACAGGACAATTATAATATTTGCACCTTGAGCTTTTAATTTTTCAGCTTCTTCCAAAATTGTTTCACTTTCGTTGCGGAATATTAATTTGCCGGTGTTAGCCAAATCCTAAAATGGAACCTGTGTAAGAAATGCTTAATATATAATTTTAAATTTGTCTTACATATGTCGTCTCCAAAATAATTCCAATAACACCAATTTTGCGGCCACTGCGCTCAATAATCATTGATGGTTGATATTTACCCTGCATGGTGGGTTCATTGCTTGCATCGATATTGGCCACCAGCATGGGACTATTTAAAGCTTCCAAAAATGGTACAACACCTTCAACGCCATGATCGAATTCATGATTGCCTAAGGTCTGGGTATTTTAAAACCTTATTAAATTAAAATTATGAATATGTAAATTCTCAATAACCTTACCATAGCTTCAGCTGGTAGTAAATTTAAAAATTGACTTGTCACATTCCATCGGCCCACATTGTACCACAGCGTTCCTTGAAAACTGTCACCGGCGTTGAAGTATACCACGTTATTATCCTTTTGCTGTTCCAGCAATTGTCTCACGGTATAAACTGTGCGGGCATAGCCACCAACGCATTCAGTATCGCCTTCACATGCACCTCCAGAGGTATCGGTAGGTTCATATCTGAACAAAGAAAATTTGAAAATTTAAATTTCTAGGTGTTAAGGAAGTTCTACAAATGTTGGATTATAAAAATGAATAGAACGCCAGGAGAGGATAGAATCCTATATGTTCACATTGTCCATGTTCCACCCATAAGAACTATAAAAAATGGGTTGAGGCGTCGGGTTAGTTGCCCACACTCGGAAAACTTCCTCCCTCCCTCCTGCTATGAAAAACCAACGAAAAAGAAAACCAAAGGCCCTAATTTTGATGACCCCGCAAAGGTATATTTTGCAAAATTTCTGGTATCAAGTAATGGCGGCGAAGAAGATATCCCAGAACAATTAAGGTATGACGGAATAGATTGTATACCCCCTAGCGAAGATGAAGTAAAAATAGCAATTAATCGGCTGAAGAATAACAAATCAGCGGGTGGAGATGGATTACCATTCGAAATAGTCAAGACTGGTGGTCATATGCTGATCAGGAGCGTGCATTGGCTGATTAGTACAATTTGGCTAGCATATAAGTGCTATCTGCTGTGTGAACGACTGAAGCCAATCGTCAATGACATTATTGGACCATACTAATGCGGCTTCAGACCTAGCAAATCTACCATAGACCAGATTTTCACACTACAACATAGAACAGATTTTCACATACACAAATACTGGAAAAGACCCACGAAAAATACATCTACACATTCCATCTATTCGTCGACTATAAAAACGCCATCGACAGCCCAATCCGATCAGAGGGGTTTAAAGCCATATCTGCGGTCCGGCATTCCTGCAAAATTAATACGGCTACACAGGATAACTTTAACTGGTACAATGTCATCAGTTAAAGTAGGAAAATACCTATCGGAGCCCTTCAATACCGAACGAGGATTCAGATAAGGTGACAGTTTGTCGTTTGACCTTTTTAACATCCTGCTGAAAAAGGGCATACGGGAAGCAAAGGTGAAACTTGAAAACTACAGCTTTGAGGTAGTCAAAGATTTTATATACCTCGGTACCGCCATAAATAAAACCAATAAAATCAGCTTTGAAATCCGGAGAAGAATAGTGTTGGCCAATAGACGTAACTATGATCGGAGTAAGAAATTCAAAAACAAGACCACCTTTAGCTAGACCAAACTCACACTCTACAAGACGTTGATACTACCCGTGCTGTTTTATGGATCTGAAGCATGGGTACTGGCGCAAGCAGGTGAGGCAGCTCTTGGAGTGCTTGAGAGAAAAATTCTCCGGAAGATCTATGGGCCGATCTGCGTCGACGGTGAATATCGCAGGCGAATGAACGATGAGTTGTACCATTTATTCTCGGACATCGACATAGTCAGACGGATCGAGCTGCAGCGATTACGTTGGATAGGACATATTGTGAGAATGGTTGTCCTGAAAAACGAACGAGAACGAATGAAGAATATGGGTATAAAGGAACGATATCAGTGATAGGAACGCTGTCACAAAAAGGACTATGCGAACTAAAGAACTGAAATAGTTCCAATGAACTAATTCGTTACGAAACTACATAACTCTAATTGTGGTTGAGAGCTACACAGAATGTTACAATGGAGACTCCGAATATTTCCGCAATTTCCAGTAATTTAAAATTGCCATGGTCTCCACTTTGATATTTCGATAATCAAGATGTGTTGCGAACAACTAAACTTGAAATATATCCTGAAGTACACTGTACCGTCAAAACTAGTAAAACTTTCAACCAGATTATGGGAACACAAACCAAAATGGCGTACTTAACCAGGATTGTCAAATTTTAATATGACCGATGTGTTGATTTGACATCTTTACTAGTTTTCCGTTTCAAAACTTTTCGTATTTCTACAACTTTTGTAAGCAACTCTGCTGAGTTCTTAGAAGTGAGAGGTATAAAAAGTGACAAGGGGGAAGAAATACAAAAGGAATCGTAGAGAGTAGCAGCAGAGTTGCTTAAAAAAATTGCATGCATAAACCCAAACTTATTGTGTGCGTTTTTGCGGCAGCGATTTTGACATTTCCATTTTAGTTAATTACTTGCAAATTAACTGATATATACACTTCAACAATTACCCTTCTCTTTTGTTAATTTTATGACGTTTATATTTAGTAAGATTTTTAGAAACTAAAATGTATATCCTTTCAAATGAGTGAGTAACAAGTCGTATTTATTAATAACTTATTATGACACACTATAAATTTTATACAACTTTATTGTAGTTGTGTTTGGGAAACAGATCATTTACCTGGGGCCTGAACATACCAGTACAAAAGAATAAAGGGGGAACACATGAGAGGACTTCGGTATTAGCATGTTAAGTTGGCTTTCTTATTGGAAAATAAATAATAAAGAATAAAGGCGAACAGATTCAAGTTTGACTCTGATATTACCAAAACCAATTTAACATGCAAAGCCTAAATTAGTGTATGTGATTCCGTCTTAACTTCAAAATCTTAAATGTAATGTGGCGAGGGAGTGGGCGGAAGAAAACATAAATTGAAAAGTTTAATAAGTTATATTTTAGAAAAATAACATCACGTCATAACTGAAGGATCGACTTTAAATTAGAGTTGTATTTAAAGCAAAATATTTACAAGAAGGCCGTGTTTACACCGAGTAGTTTTTAAAGTGGCAATGTGGCGAAATCTGAACTATTTTTAGAAGATTATTTACACTAGTTTAACAAAAAATACAGTTAAATTCATACTTTGTCCACATTCTAATCAAAAAAATGTTACTGCTTTGTGTATTTTGAAAAATAAACTTGTGGTTTTCCAATAAAAAGTTTTTTTCAATATTAATTTTTTATGGTATTGCAATAATTATATGCAAATAAAAATTATGCAAATTGCTAGACGCAGAAATAAATAACGGTATGACTGTGTGATTTTAATTCTATTTTAAGATTGTAATTACAATTTATAACTAACTAACTAAACAGGTTGAGTGTTTAGTTTAAAATTTGCATTAAAACAAGATGTTGGAGGTAGCGGGAAATATTTCTCTTTTTCAAAGAGGTAGGGGAGACTGGGGCACCATCGGCACTTTTTTTAGAGTTCTATATCTCAGTACTTATTCAACATTTAAATATTTCTATAATAATATACATCGTTGTTAACTACTTTTTAATAATATTGTCTTACAACGTTACCTAAAATCCGACGGGGCGTACAAAAATATTCAACTTCCCCACTATGGCAAAATGTTGTGTACGGCCGTATTACCCAAATACGTCGGATCCATATCTTCCAGCAAATAATACAAACCGCAAAACAAAATTGAAAATTTATTAAAATAATCCACATATTGTTAGTTTCCATTCGAAATTTCAAATTTCCAGACTGTTTTGTTTTTGTTTTCAACAAAAGAAAAAAGTTATAAATACGTTCTATTTGGGTAATACGGCCGTACACAACATTTTGCCATAGTGGGGAAGTTAAATATTTTTGTACGCCCCGTCGGATTTTAGGTAACGTTGTTAAAAATTTAAAAAGTTTTATACACGAAATACTTACGAAGTGGAATTGAAATATTACAGAAACATCCATAAAAATACAAAAACCCATGTATCTAAATAAGCTTATTAACTAGAAATTTCAAACTTTGTGTCAGTTATTTATTTCGATATTCGAAACTAGTGATGTACGGTGAGAGCTTCACATCGAAAACGCGATTGCCGAAGGTGCCCCAGTCTCCCTAAAGCCCAATAACAATTTATTGGTATAGCTCGAAGCTCTGCCTGAAATATTTTTTTTTTATATGACAGGTGAAGTTAAGTTCAGTTCCTGGTTTTCTGCAAGCCGAGTGCCACCTGTGTAACAACAGTTGCCAGAGGACATTTGGTTCGGACTCAAAATTGCTAATTACGGTCTTATAGATCCATGTTATCATCTTTGGATTGAAACTCAATTTAGAGACTAAAGAGACTTATTATAGTGGTAACGAAAATTAGTTGAGGCAGAACCCCTCCCTGCGATGTATGCTGCAGTTTAAACTTCTATTACTTAGCATATGGCTGACCCAGTTTATAATTACCTAGTCAATCGAACGTCTTCTAAGGATTCGATAAGCGTTTCAGTGCCGACTTTTTGAATGCTCGGTCGATATCAATACATACAGGGTGAGATAAAAAATGTCGGAAATAGCATCAAATTTTAGAATAAGTATAGATTTGTTCAAATTGGTCAACTTTGGCACGAATTATGGCCTTCAAGCGGCCAATGAAACCGTCACACGCTGCCCGAATTTTGGGCCATTCCCGGCGAAACGCTTGCTTGAGATGATCGACACATTTTTTAATGTCAACCTTACTTTCCAAAATACTGCAAACACAATAGTCCAACGGATTGGTATCCGGAGATTTTGGTGGCCACTGTGTGCTGGAAATGAAGCGAGGAACCCCATTTGGTAACCATTCTTGGGTGGCGCGTTCTGAGTCCTGTTAGAATGTCAAGGTCTGCGGCCAAAATGTTAGAGTGCCCAAGGCTTTAATACACCCTACAGAATATTTTCGCAATAACATTCGGCATTTATTCTCATGCCACGGTCGATTAATACGAGCTAGTCTTGTGTCGTTCGTGAACGACCTAGTTCAATTGAACGAGTCAGTCCACTAAACGAGTGAACGACATATTTCATTGTTTATTATTGTCGTTCATTGAACGATTTTGTTTACCAAACGTCGTCGGTCACTGAACGACGTTGTTCACTGAACGATACAGAATTTTATTCTACACCTTCAGTGCCGTTCACTGGTGGTGGTGGTTCAAGATCAATTTCATGTATAATCTGATAAATTAAAAAAATACATTCGGAAAATTAGCCCATTGCAGTGTTCAAAAGACCAAATGCAAATACTGCAGTAGCGTTTTAAGCATAGCTAGGGGGACAGCAAATAATAAATAATAAGTGACATTTAAAAGGATAGCACCCATTTGCTTAAATGGACTCCCAAAGACAGCCGGTAAAAGAGAGATGGAAACACCGGAAGAAGTGGCACAGGTATGCGGAGCAACAACTGTGCAGCCGAATATAACGAAGTGGAGAAAATATATAGTCAAGTTCTTCGAATGATTGGGAAAGGTCAACATTCTTTGCTGTTGATGGAACTGGTAGCTTAAATGCAATAGTGACCATTTTAGCGATATAAAGCAACTGAACGTGGTTCACCTCGTTCAATGTTAAAAAATTTATCTTATTCGTTCGATCACTGTAATGAACGAGATTGCCCAAGACTAATACGAGCGGAGACCGACCATCGGACGTTACGCCGGCGTTTGAGTTCTGGTGCACAACCGAAGGTGCACATTTTCAGCTGACATCTTTGGCAAGTAAACACGATCATTTTTTTTTTTTTTTTTTTTGTGTACAAAATTCTGGACAACGAATGTTATCTCATCGGAGAACACCAAATTCGGCAGTTCACCACTATCGGCCAAGCGAAGCAACTCTTTAGCCCTTTCTTTCGATTGCGGCGTAAGTTCTTGCACTTTTTGGAATTTCAATGGAATCAATCGACCACTGCGAACCATTTCTGCTGATGTCGCCGTTTTCTTCCGTCCTTTTCCTTGAAGTCGGGCTACGCTACCAGTATCACGGTAACCAGCGATGTTACGAGACACAAAAGATTTATTCACATTTAAATACTGGAGTACTCTAACGATAGCCACTTGTGGTTTTCCAGCCAAATATAAAGAAATCACACTATGACGCTTGAATTCCACCACGAATAACTTTTTTTCTGGAAAATTCTCAACAAAATGCTTTGGTACGCTTGTAAACAATATAATGAGCTGTCACTGGAATGATTTTAGCAGCTGTCGGACGAGTGGCTTAGAAATGGCAGCAGTCTGAAGTTGGTTGCAGTTTTTTCATCTCACCCTGTACAGCTAATGTACAATCAATATGGTGGACTACCTCATGTAAAGCGTTTCCCCCCTGATCAATGGATCAATATATTAGAAATCCTAATAAATTTTTAGTTTATCTCGATGAAGAACCCCAATCTAAATCAAGACTCATATCATCACTAGACCATTATTAGCTTTTAAAGCGTTCATTGTGTTTGCAGGCAAATTTCTATTTTTCCACAAACCTTAGAAGATTTTTTTATTCAAATTTTTATTTATTGGACGTTACGCCTACCAATTTGAATTGTTTGCATTTTAAATTTACACTCCAATCTAATAAATATTTCCAATATTTCAATTATAATTTTCTCTTATTTCTTCATAAGTTTTCTTCTAAACTAAATTAAAGATTCTAATTTAAAATGACTTTTCTTAATTTGTTGTTCTTTTCCCGTTTAAGAAATCACTTATAAAATTTACGTTTATTACACTTGGACGATAATAAACCACATTCAATTATTATGGCATTAAGCGACAGCAACAACAACAAAACAAATAAATAAAAACAATAATAACAACAAAAATATAAAAACACACACCTTGCATGAAAATCGTTAATATGTACTATTGATAATGGAAACAATTCCGATTTAGGAATATTTTGCTGGGCACTGACGTTTAAATTGCCAGCCAAGAAAACGGCCACGAACAACAAAAAGAGTTTCTTCATACTTGAGGTTACGTTGTTGTTGTTGTTATAATTCAATGACGCGGAGCACCAAAATAATAAAAAATAAACTAAAAACAAAACGCGAACACTACAACTTTGCCATTTACCGATTATGCGATCAGATTGTTGTTTAACCGCGCGCTATATGCGCTGACAATTGACTGAACTGACTAAAATACAATAGTTAGTATTTTGTTTACACGGATTTTAATTCAATAATAATTCAATTAGCAAAAGCAGCGAAGAGATCGGTGATCGTGTCGCTATTTTTGATTTTTTGAAATTTCTCTTTGCACTCATTGCTCTCACTCTCACAAGTGTGCGGGCCAATGCCATTTAACTGAGAAATATTTTGCACGAATGCATTTTCTGTAGATTTGCTGAGTTATCGTTTGACGAGGTTGATAAGAGGTTGGTTTTTTACAGGTACTGTGGAACGGTAGGTCTTAAAAAATAAATCAAATCAAAAACCTGTTATGTAGATGCAATTGCCAAAAAAAATATGTTACTAATCTACTACATTTTACTAATTTTATCGATATTCTAAAATGTTACGGGGGCAGTTCGGAAACTTCTTAGCCTAGCACAAAAAGCGTGGTATTAACAGAAAAGTTAAGTGTTTTGGAAACTGTCATCTCTGTTATGAACACATGTTAAATTTTGTTTCGATCTGGCAACTCCCTCATATAGAAACAGGTGTTCAAAAAAGAAGCATCCGCAATTTATCGGGACAAGAAATTCCTAATGATATGGTGAATGTGCTAGGTGAAAGTGCTCCTTCATATGCAACAGTAAAAAATTGGGTTGCTGAATCTAAACGTGGTCGTACAAGCATTGAAGATGAACCACGTAGTTGACGTCCAAAAATGCAAAAATGCTGAACTGAGATTTTCCGTATAAAACGTAGCTGAATTATATTTGTCTATGGAAAAATCCGGCTGAATTTAGATATTAAGATGTAAAACCCTGCTGAATTGTGTTTTCCAATATAGAAAACTTCCTGAATTGGGTTTTCATTGGAAGAATGTTGCTGAATTGAGATTTTCGGTATAAAAACTTAGCTGAATTATGTTTATCGACTGAATTCCGTAATTAAATAGTAAAATCCTGCTGAATTTTGTTTTCGAATATAGAAACCTTGCTGAATTGTGTGTGTTTTAACAAGAAATCCCAGTTGTTTTGTCTATGAAAACTATTGCTGAATTGTGTTTTGCAATGCAAAAATGTTGCTGAACTGAGATTTTCCGTATAAAACATAGCTGAATTATATTTGTCGATGGAAAAATCTGGCTGAATTTAGTTATTAAGAAGTAGAGCCCTGCTGAATTGTGTTTTTCAATATAGAAAACTTGCTGAATTGGGGTTTCATTGCCAAAATGTTGCTGAATTGAGATTTTCGGTATAAAAACTTAGCTGAATTATGTTTATCGACTGAATTCCGTAATTAAATAGTAAAACCCTGCTAAATTTTGTTTTAGAATATAGAAATCTTGCTGAATTGTGGTTTTTAACAAGAAATGCCAGTTGTTTTGTCTAAGAAAACTATTGCTGAATTGTGTTTTTCAATGCAAAAATGTTGCTGAACTGAGATTTTCCGTATAAAACATAGCTGAATTATATTTGTGGATGAAAAAATCCGGCTGAATTTAGATATTAAGAAGTAGAGCCCTGCTGAATTGTGTTTTTAAATATAGAAAACTTTCTGAATTGGGTTAATGTTGCTGAATTGAGATTTTGTGCATAAAAACTTAGCTGAATTATGTTTATCGATGGAAAATCTGGCTGAATTTAGTTATTAAGAAGTAAAACCCTGCTGAATTGTGTTTTTCATTACAAAATTGTTGCTAAATTGAGATTTTCGGTATAAAAACTTAGCTGAATTATGTTTATCGACTGAATTCCGTAATTAAATAGTAAAACCCTGCTGAATTTTGTTTTCGAATATAGAAACCTTGCTGAATTGTGTGTGTTTTTAACAAGAAATCCCAGTTGTTTTGTCTAAGAAAACTATAGCTGAATTGTGTTTTTCAATGCAAAAATGTTGCTGAACTGAAATTTTCCGTATAAAACATTGCTGAATTATATTTGTCGATTTAGATATTAAGAAGTAAAACCCTCCTGATTTGTATTTTTCAATATAGAAAACTTGCTGAATTGGGTTTTCATTGCAAAAATGTTGCTGAATTGAGATTTTCTGCATAAAAACTTAGCTGAATTATGTTTATCAATGGAAAAATCTGGCTGAATTTAGTTATTAAAAAGTAAAACCCTGCTGAATTGTGTTTTTCATTACAAAATTGTTGCTGAATTGAGATTTTCGGTATAAAAACTTAGCTGAATTATGTTCATCGACTGAATTCAGTAATTAAATAGTAAAACCCTGCTGAATTTTATTTTCGAATATAGAAACCTTGCTGAATTGTGTGTGTTTTTAACAAGAAATCCCAGTTGTTTTGTCTAAGAAAACTACTGCTGAATTTAGATATTAAGAAGTAAAACCCTGCTGAATTGTGTTTTTCAATATAGAAAACTTGCTGAATTGGGTTTTCATTGCAAAAATGTTGCTGAATTGAGATTTTCTGTATAAAAACTTAGCTGAATTATGTTTATCAATGGAGAAATCTGGCTGAATTTAGTTATTAAGAAGTAAAACCCTGCTGAATTGTGTTTTTCATTACAAAATTGTTGCTGAATTGAGATTTTCTGTATAAAAACTTAGCTGAATTATGTTTATCGACTGAATTCCGCAATTAAAAAGTAAAACTCTGCTGAATTTTGTTTTCGAATATAGAAACCTTGCTGACTTGTGTTTTTAACAACAAATCCCAGTTGTTTTTCTAAAAAACGATTGCTGAATTGTGTTTTTCAATGCAAAAATGTTGCTGAACTGAGATTTTCCATATAAAACATAGCTGAATTATATTTGTCGATGGAAAAATCCGGCTGAATTTAGACATTAAGAAGTAAAACCCTGCTGAATTGTGTTTTTCAATATAGAAAACTTGCTGAATTGGATTTTCATTGCCAAAATGTTGCTGAATTGAGATTTTGTGCATAAAAACTTAGCTGAGTTATGTTTATCGATGGAAAAATCTGGCTGAATTTAGTTATTAAGAAGTAAAACCCTGCTCATTTGTGTTTTTCAATATTGAAACCTTGCTGAATTGTAGTTTTTTGATTAGAAAAGACCATTTTTCTAAAAAAAACACACGCTGAATTGAGTCGTTCTAAAGTAAAATCTTGTGTTTTCTAACAAAAAAAAATTGCTGAATTCATTCGAATTGATTTAAATGTTTCCATAATAAAACCTTGCTGAATTAGGGTTTTCTGTCAAAAAATTCCTGCTGAATTATGTTTTCTGTGAAGAAACCATTGCTGAATTGTGTTTTTCAATATTAAAACATTGCCGAATTAAATTTTTCTATGAAAAAACGTTGCTGAATTGTTTTTCGTTGAAAACCATCAGCTGAATTGTGTTTTTCTATATTAAAACCTTGTTTAATTGTGTTTTACCACATGGATACCTTGCTAAATGATGTTTTCCGTTAAGAAAACCTTGCTGAATTGAGTTCTTCGTCTGATAACCCCAGCTGAACTGAGTTTTTCTTTCGAAAAATCTTGCCAAAATCGTTTTTCTATATAAAATTTTCGTTGAATTGTCAACGAAACCTTGCTGAATTGATATTTTCTGCAGACAAACATAGTTAATTTGATTCTTTCTACATAAAAACCTTTTTTTCATTTAAGAAACCCCCGTTGAAAATAGTGTTTTCTTAGGAAAACCCTGCTGAACAATGTTACTTTATATAAAAGCTTTGCTGAATTGTGTTTGATGATATAAAAACCTCGCTGAATTGTGGTTTACTTTAGAAAAACTTCACAGAAACCAATTTGCCTATTTAAAACCTTTGCTGAATTGTCCTTTTCTGCATGAAAACCTTGTTGAATAGAGTTTTTCAATAGAAAACCAACAGTTTGTTTATTGAAAATCTTAGTGGAATTGTGATTTTCTACATAAACACCTTGCTGAAATGAGTTTTACGGTAAAAATTTAGCTGAATTTCGATTTTCTTTTGTAACATTTTGATAAAATGCAATTTCCTTTACATAAACTTTGCTGAATTGTGTTTTTCTTTAGTAAAACTTTGCTAAACAGCGATTTTCTTTTCTAACCCTTAGCTGAATAAAGTATTCTCTTAGAAGAGATTAGCTGAATTGGAGTTTTCTTTAGTAAAAACCTTGCCAAAAACGATTTTTTTTACAAAAAATTACCTGAATTGAGTTTTTCGATACAAAAAGTTATCTTAAATGAGTTTGTCTTTGTATAACCTTGCTAAAATACAATTTTTTTACAATAATTCAGCTGAATGGAATTTCGCCTAGAAAAACTTTGCTCAATTTGTGTTTTCTTTAGTAAAACTTTACTAAAAATAGATTTTCTTTACAAAACCTTTGCTGAATTGAGTTTTCTTTTAGAAAAACGTAGCTGGATTGAGTTTTTCTTTAGTAAAACATTATTTAAATTCTATTTTATTTAGAAAACCTTAGCTGAATTGAGTTTTTCTTTAGTAAAACCTTGTTTAAATTCTATTTTATTTACAAAACCTTAGCTGAATTAAGTTATCCTTTAGAAAAACTTAGCTGAATTGAGTTTTTCTTTAGTAAAATCTTGTTTAAACTCTATTCTTGAAACTTCAAGGCCATTATGAACTCATGTCCTTTCACATACGCTCTATACATCCTAATACTAAGCATTTCTGTTCGGTCTCCGCATATTCACGTTGAATTTGATTGAGTTTCTTGGACACAAACCAATTGGAAAATTTTCGCCATGCGTATTTTTCTGAACGAATGTACCACATTTTGTGTATTTCCATAATGGTACCCTTAACTACCCTTGATTCAAAATCGCTTACCCTTGACTTCAAAATCATCATTTAATACTGTTGAATTATTTTATTAAAATAAAAATTTGGCTAAATTTCATTAAATTAGCTTTT